TTAACAATAATAATTATAATTATGGATGTTAGATTTTGTCCTTTTTTATTTGCAAATTACTAGAATTAATTCTAATTTTAATTTTAATTAAAAAAAAAAAAGAACCTTCATTTGAGTTTCTTTCTCAGTTACAATTGTTCGTGTAATATAAACAACATTAATTAGGAAGGAAAATACGACAACAGTTGATAAGAAGTAGACGCCAAGTTCAATGATAACATTTTTATAAGATGGATAAGGGAAGCGTTGAAGCTAAAAAGAGCAGTGAATAATTTTAAAATTTAATTTAAAAAAATTTTAAATAATAAAAGTTTGAATTAAATTTGAAAATTATTGCAAATCATAATTGCAATTATTGAAATTGAATGTAAATGAAATAAATTTAGAATATTATTTATCAAAAATTTGATAAGAAAAATTTTTGAAAATTTTAAAATGAAATAATTATTTTTCATAAAAAAATTTTTTTCATGAATTTATAATGTGAGTTTAATAATTATAATAATTAATGATATAATTAAAAATTTAATAAATTACCATTAAGATAGAATTATTGGTTGCATTTGATAAATATTGCTGAATTGCAACATCAATTGCTTTTTGTAATGTTAAAAAACCTTCTTGCCAATAACCTAAAACTTTTTTAAATGATTAATGATTATACTAATATTTTGTGATTGTTTGCATTTTTGTTGTCAATTATGCATAATTTTTTTTTTAATATATAAACAATTATTATTAAATTTTAAAAAAAAAATTCAAAAAAGTTTAATAATCATTAAAAAAAAAAAAAAAAAAAAAAACTTTAGAAAGTTAAACGAATTTTTATAAAATTGAAGTCGATGAGTTGCTACTACTGTATTACTCATATGAAAGTAATTAATTAAATATTATAATTTCTACCATAATTCATAGTTTTTAATTACTTAATTATTTACAATAATTATTTTGCAATAATTTGCATGAATAAAAATTTATTCACCAGGATTTCCACCACTTGGATTGAATTTATGCAATGGTCCAATACGAATTGGTACAGCGAATTTAATTTCAGTATTCCATGGTAATAAAGTACTTAATAATGGCTGATAGCGACGTTTGGTATTTGATAATCGAATTGAATAACTAATTGTATCAGTTGAATTGACAGAATTAGCAAAATTTTCATCAAAAACAATACCACCTGTTTTAAATTTTATGTTTAATTTACTGATTAACTTTTTCAAATGACAAAAGTTTTAGATTTTTGCTTAAAAAATTTTTAAACTTTCAAATGAATTACTTTTAATCAATAAAAATTAGTATAATCTTGATCATTAAATTTTTTTTTTTTTTTAAATTCAAAAAATATCAATAAATTTGAAATGTAAACATTAGTAATTTATAAATTTTAGGTGAAACAAAAGTTTATTTAAAATTAAATTGAAAAGATATGTTAAATATTGAAAGAAAAAGAAGAAAGAAAATCTTTTTTTTAAATATGAAATAAAAAATTTAGATGAATACGGTAATTTGTTAATGATTGAAATGATTGTACCAATGATCGGATTGTTGCATCGTACTTCTGACAATGAACTCATAATATACTTTACCAATTCTTCCTCATTTTTTTTAGCTATAAATTTAGAAAAGAAATTCAAAACAAAAAATAAATTAATTAATTAATTAATTTTTTATTAGATATGACTAATGTAAAAAATGTTGAAGACAAAGAGAAAGAGAAAAAAAGAGTAAATGAAACAAAAAATCAAATTTATGTTATTAATTTCAATTTCATGTTTTACTTTTAGAATTCAAGTTTTTAACACTAAATTTTTATAAAATTAATCATTAAATCATTTTATTTCATCTATTTGCTAAATATCCATCTATTAATTTGGTAAATTGTCTAATTTTAATTAATTAATAAAAGAGAATCAAAATAATTTTTCAATTTATTTATCTCAATAAATGAAATTAATTTAACAACAAAAACTGTTTTTACTTTTTTTTTTAAAAAAAAAACTTCCAAGAATAACACACAAATGAAATATTAGAAATGAATCTTACAAATAGAATTTCTAATTTAAAAATATTTTTAAAAGTTACGTGTAAGTTTTGTTGTAGAAGATATTTTAATCATCATATTTGGATCAATTTTTTTCATGATATCAAGCTCTCCAAATAATACATCATTTTCTAATTGTTCAACTATATTCGAAGTGGTATATCGTTCCTGCACCAGGAATTAATTCAATTTAATAATATAATAAATTTTTTTCTTCCTTCTTTTTTTAACAGAAAAAAAAGCCAAAATGATTTTATCACTAAATACAGCTCATCCAAAATGATTTTATCACTAAATACAGCTCATCCAAAATGATTTTATCACTAAATACAGCTCATCCAAAATGATTTTATCACTAAATACAGCTCATCCAAAATGATTTTATCACTAAATACAGCTCATCCAAAATGATTTTATCACTAAATACAGCTCATCCAAAATGATTTTATCACTAAATACAGCTCATCCAATATGATTTTATCACTAAATGCAGCTCATCCAAAATGATTTTATCACTAAATACAGTTCATCCAAAATGATTTTATCACTAAATACAGTTCATCCAAAATGATTTTATCACTAAATACAGCTCATCCAAAATGATTTTATCACTAAATACAGCTCATCTAAAGTGATTTTATCACTAAATATAGCTTATCATTAAAGATCTTATCACCAAATATAGCCATTTATAATTAATAGCAAATGGAATTTATTCAATGATTTGTTAAACAGAAATAATTTCTCATCCAATTGAATATGATAAAAAATAAAACATTCTAACCTGAATAATTTGCATAATTTCATCAATCGCAGGATTAGTTGGTGTGTAAACAATTTCCAAATCAATATTTGCTAGAATATTACTATCATTTGACTGTCTTGTTATATTCAAAAATATACAATCATCATTAATTGTTTTACCACTTATTATATATTGTGTATCAACAATAGTATCCTGAAATTTTTTTTTTTTTAAATTTTTTTTTTAAAAAAAAAAGAAAGAAATTTAATTAATAAAGCATTTCAAAAATTTCATTTGGAAATTTCCTTTTTGAATTTCCTTTTTGTTTTGCGCTTGTTTTTCGTTTTTTTTTCTTTCATATTTCTTTAATTTTATTAATTATATTAAGCATTAAAAGATATTACATTGTTTATTTTAAGATAAATTTAAAATTATTATTGTAATCAAGCTTACAACAAATATTTGTGAGAAATCAGGTGGTATAATTAAATCAATAATTGATCCCTGAATTATCCATGGTTTATATGTTGTTGATGGATGTGAAAGTTCATATTTATGTCGTAGCTAAAAAAAAAATATTTCGTCGATCAAAATTATTAATTATGATGATAAAATGAATGAGTCATCATAACAATGGAAATTATGCATGAATGACTTTAATTAATTGACAATTTATAAAAAAAAAAAAAAATTGAAATTGATGAAAAATTTCAAAAAAATTCATTTACAACTTTGTTATTTAATTTTTGTTTGTCGTAAAATAAAAAATTTATGAAAAAGAATAAAATTGCAAAACTAACCGCAATCATTAAGCCAAATGTAATACCAATTAATAATAGTGGAACAATAAATTCTAATGTAGTAAATATTGGCGATCGAATTTGTTGAAGGAAATTTTTCCACATCAGTAATTTTAATTGAGACATTCGTCCATTAACTTTTTTAAGCGTCATTTAATTAGTCCAATATTAGTTAAGTTAGCAAAAATTTAATCTTTTCCTTAAAAACAAAAAGAGCAAAAATAGAATGTAAATTTTTAAAATTTTTTTTTTTTCAAAGTTCAAAAGTATAAAAAACAATCTATCGCTTAAATTTCATTTTGTTCTTTTTTAGTCCTTTCCTTTGCTTGCTTTCTTTTAAATTAAAATTAATTTTGATTATAACAAAAAAAAAAAAAAACAATAATGACAATGTATGGACAGCAGCTTATACTAATTAATTCGCATTCTTTTCAAATTTAACAAAATTTAGTATTTAGAAATAATTAACAATAGTTTCTTCCTTTTTTTTTTCACAGCATTTCAAAATATTTAACTAAAATCAAAAAACAAAAAAAAAAAAAAAAAATTATTGCATCTCGCCGATTCGATAGCATTTAACTGTTAAACTGATAACTATAGATGATATTTCTGTCTAGAAAAGAAAAAAAAAAGAAAATGAAAGAAAGGAATGAAAGTAATGGATCGTTAATTTTGATTCAACAATAATAAAATGCAATGAATAATATATCACATAAAAATTTTATCAGTATGTGAATGATTATCACTGATTAAAAAAATTTTTTTCTTTTTTTTTTTCGTTTTTTTGAAAAGATTACAAAACGAAAAGATGATTTGTTAGCTTGTATTAATGTTATCTGTAAAATTTGAACTATACCCACTCTCCATCCCAAAAAAAAAAAAAAAAAAGGGAAAAATAAATAAAAAAATACTTCCTTATTATCTTTATAATGCAAAATAAAAGAATTTAATTATAAACTAAATTAGCAATTAAAAAGTTTTAAAAATTTTCTGCAATAATTTAAACGATTAGTCCTATATAAAATGAAATATGCTATTAAAAAATAATAAGAATATAAGTGAAAAAATTCTACTAAAAATAAATTATTTATAAAAAAGAAAAAAAAGATGAAATATAATTTTAATGCTATAATTTGTTCATTTTAGTATGTAAAATGAAAAAGTAAAAAGAAAAGAAAAAGTGATGTAAGCATATTAAATGAGTCAAATTAACTCTCTCAGCAATAATAAAATATGCAAATTTTACACATAATAATTTTAATTTATATTGATTATTTTTGAAATTAATTTACATTTACATTCTGTAATTTATAAATATTCTGTCAGGTTTTTTTGCATTTTTTTCATCGCTTTTTTCATCATTTTTTTCCTTCCGTTTTTTTTTTTTTTTTTTTTTTTATTGCTGAAAATGTTAGATGGAATAATTGTACGAGCTCAGATTATTGCGGTAATTGCAAATATGATATTATCTACAATTGCAATTATAGTTATTCTTATAACGATAAGAATAATTCGAAAAGAAGTTAGACATTTTACTAGTTTTTAATTCAATGTTTAAAATTTGTCTGAAAAGATATTTGAATTGTAAAATAATTATCAAAAAGTTTTTCTAATTCAAGTACCGATTTAATAAAATTTAACATAATTCAAAATAATGTAATTTGAAGTTTCATTTTTAATAAATTATTAAATTTAAATAACAAAAAAAAACAAGGAAAAGAAAAGAAAAAGAGAACTAATATTGTAATTTTCTTTTAATCACTAAAATGTTCTAAATTATATTTTTATGATATTTAATTAAAATTAATATTTTAGGGTATCACAGAGCTAAATAATGTCGCAAAAATTTTACCCACAGCTTTAGATAGCATTAGCTATTGTGAAATTTCCGCTCCTATTGTAGCAACAATTGCTAATTGTATGAAAATACCATTAAATGAGGTAATATTTCAAAAATATTTCAGATAAAATGGATGAACAATTTTTGAAAAATAATAAATGTATTTATATTTGCCATCAATCTATCTATTTAATCATTTAGTTTTTCTTCTTTTTGTTTTTCTTTTGTTATTTTTAAAAATGAAAAAAAAAAAAAAAAAACAAAATAAAATAAAATTTTTAGATTGTGAAAGAATATAAAGAAGGTAGCATTAAACGACGATATATCGCTTTGGAAATATTTCATAGTGATTCGCTTACATGGAAATTACTATGGAAATTTCCATCAAAATTTATCAATTATGGATATATCGGTGAAGAGCTTATTGTTAAAGCAAATTAATTTTGATTGACAATAAAACAACAAATTTATTCATTTAGCAAAATTTATTTTAAACAAATTATTGTTATTCTCGCAAATATTCTTTCACACAATAAAAATTGTCTAAGCTTTTTTAATAATCAATTAAACTTGCATAATTCGACGAAAAAAAAAAAAAAGAGACTTACGTGTAAACGTGTGAACTTTTCGTTAACTTAAAAATATCACTATCATTTCACGCATTACTGAAAATGAGATAAGACGAGATACTGTATCGCCAGAAGAGAAATGGGAAACGATGGTAGATAAAATATAGGGTTGCTGTGAGAGACGACCAGACATTGTGTCATTATGGCAAATGTTGTTGAAGTTTGTAAACTGATACGCGGATAGATCATATAATGATGTGTTAACTAGTGATTGAGAGTGATAGGAAATGGTATAACTGATGGGGAGATATTAGAGAGATATGCGTTGTGAAGATATTAGAGAATGTATAGATGTGGTATAGAAATTGAGAAGGCGTAAAATATAAGTGATTGTTAGTAATGAAAGTTTGAATGTAATGAAATTTATTTTATTGTTAATTGAGTAAATGATAAGTATTTGGATAAAGAATAGAGTAGTTCTTATGACATACAGTCAATCTTATCATATTTATCAGTAGCTCTAAGTGAGAAGAGGAAAAGATATGATAATATTATGAATCATCGAATGTGACCTTCACATTATATTGACGATATTCTCAAATGCATGGGTGAATGTTTCAAGTTACGTATTGATTGATTTATTATGATGTAAACTGATAATTATGTGTCATCATTATCATCATCATCATCATCCTCACTATTATTATCATAATCAATAGAGATGAACGCTACTGATTGTCATGTTTATAGACTAAAACTTCATACTGTATGATTGTTTACTGATATTTTAAGCTGTTTGTTGACATAGTTATTGATTATTCCATTGAGAAATATTTGAAAGTTTTGTTGAAGTACTATTTTAATCAGTTATGAAGTTTTAAAAAAAAAGAGAAATGATAACATTCAATTGTAAACTGTATAATGCATATGAAAGTTAAAAGTAATGATTAACGTTCATTATCTTGAATATAAAATGAATCTATGATATGATTATTATATAGGTAAATGATAAGATGAGCGCATATGGACATGTAGCTGGCTTACCAATTGAATGCTTAAGTATTGCTGTAGAGCTTCATAAGGAACAATTTGTGGATGAGAATGGACAACAGGTCAGTTACTTAAATTCTTACTTTCTGTAATTATAATTTGTAGTGCTAATTTTTTTTACTCTCACAATTTATATAGTTTACTTATTCTTTGAAAAAAATTTTTTTCTTTTCACAAATTAAATGAATAAATGAAATTCCTGCCAGATTATATCAAAGATAAACGATTTTTGATTCTGATTTGAACTTCAATTATGCACATTTGCGCTTTTAGGTTCTTCGTGTAGGTTTTAAAATTGGTGGCGGTATCGATCAGGATCCAAGCCGAGCACATTATCCATATCCAGATAGTGTAACTATCTTCAGCACTTACTTGTTATTATAGTTTAATGAAAATTTGCATTCATTTTTCATGTCATATAAAAGTGTTAATTTATTATTAAAATTGTTATTCTTTTGTAGGGAATTTACATCACGCAAATTGAGCCTGATTCACCAGCAGAACGTGCTGGACTTCGTCAACATGACAAAATACTTAGAGTAAGTACTTTTTAATAATATATATCGGCATTAATTGAAATATTCTGATATTCTAATAAATTATTCATCTTAATTATACAGATCACTGCCTTCATTATTACCATTGCATATCATAACTCGAACTGTCAACAAAATTTCTTAATGTTATTTATCAAATATTATTCATTTGTAAACTAACAATTTCATATTGAAATGTAAAAATGTACTCTTCACTACTAGCTATTACAATCTTTATGAATGTACTACGTGTTACTACGTGTTTTAGGTAAATGGTAACGATTTTACAATGGTAACTCACGAAAAAGCTGTAAAATATATTAAGAAATATCCAGTGCTTCATATGCTTGTTGCTAGAAAAGATGTTTCTGGTTGAATTTTATAAGGAATACAATCACAGTAGTTTTTCTTTTTCAGTTCTTCAATTGGAATTTATGGTTCCCATTAAGTCTAAAGTCTGTTATGCTTCATCTTTATTTTAAGCTTCCTTCAGAATTTCACTCCCTTCATCAGTTCAGAAAAAATATTTAAACAGTGACTGCTAGGATGACAGTTGAAAGACGAAATAAAAAATTATTCGAAAAAGAACCAGATAATGGACAAATAGTTACTACTATTTCAAACAATAAATAGTTATGTTTACAGATTGAACTTTCTCAAAAAAAATAAAATGAAATAAATTAAAAGTCAGCATGTGGCGTTAAAACATTCCAATTATTGGAATGTTTTAATAGCGCTGTCTGACTTTTAATCTATGCAGAAATATTTCGCTATTCTTTATATACTAACATTCCTTCTAAATTTCTTACTTTCATTTGTTAAAATAGATGAGGACAATTTATTCCATAGCGCTATTTTTATTTGTTTAAGAAAACAAACTGTTCGTGCACACGTTTTATCACTTTCTGATTTTTCGATTGGCTGGTCATTAGTTGGTCATCATTATTTGCCAAACAAATAATATATGTTTGTTGGAATGAATTTTTTAAGTAGATTCTTCACTGCCTATCTTTCAGTTTTCTTTTCCACTAGTATGAAAAATGCGATAAAGATAAGATACGTTCAAAAACTTCACACAAGCATTCTACCGGTGCAGATAAGATTATCAGAAATTCGCTAATACTTATATGCCTTTTATATATTATAGTAGCATAATGATCTTTCATTGTATATATATATATATATATATATATATATATATATATATATATATCATTACTGTTATCTCGTGTCTCGTTTATCAGTAATCCTTAAAATCTGTATAAAAGTCATCACTGTCGAGTAAATTTGGTTCATTTTTGCAGTGTATTGTATCCCAAATTGGTTTCGAAAACGGACTCACAAAAATAACCATTGCTGTTAGTAACAAAAAGATAGTACCAAATAATATAAGTGACACGGTCATAAGTATTCGCTCCCAGTATAAGACCTGAATAAAAAAAAGATTAGCGGCAGCAAGTTGTACTTGTCCAGATAGATCTATTATATTATATATTTGGTTTAATTAGGTTAAAATGTTAAAAGCAGTAGAGGTAAAGGGATAAATTATTTGTCATTTATTTAGCACTTATATTATTTTACAGAAAAAAAATAGAATATTAACTTTTTAAATGCTGTCTTCTCTACCTTTCTATAATAAATGTATCTGAACAAACCGATGTACAAATTAAATTATAAGCATAAATATGAAGAAGGAAAGATGCTATGATAAAGACATTAAATCAAAATATAGTCATCTGTAATATGGGATAAATCAATTTTGTTTACAACATTTAAATTATTGTTCTTATAAAACTATGCCATTTACCTTAAGATTATGTAAAATGACGACACCCATAAGTACACCAGTAACAACGCCAGCAATATGAGCAGTGTACGATACGCGATCGCATTCATTCACTTGAAAACGACGATAAACAGTCGATGCTGTATCAGTAAAAACGTATGCAGAAATGATAAATAGTCTAACCAACCGAAATGGCATTTCGGCCCAATTCTGTAATCAAATTAACTGAAGAATTTCTAATATACTTTGAAAGTGAATGTCCTTAGGAATAGCTAGGATTTTCTGCTCGCTTTACCTGATGTCACAACATACATTTCTACGACATGAGATATAAATAATATCAAATACAAGCTAAATTATTAGTCTTATATTTACAACTCTTCTGACTCTTCTGACTTACTTTTCGCAGCTAGATTTCCATTAAAAAAAAAAGAAAAAAAAAAAAACTTGTGAAATTTCTTAAAATAAAGATCGCAGAAATAAGTAAGAAAAGAACTTACGACTATAACATTTGAAAGATGAGCACCCAGTAAAGCATAAACACCAGCAGAACAACCAACCAAATATACGGATGGGTCAAGTGCATATTGCAATAGTGCCCCTATATTATTAAAATTAATTTAATGAAAACATATTCGATTTAAAAATAAATCAAAGACAATTAAGTCCACTGTAGAATGCATTTAAAAGAAGCTGTGAAAAGGAAAAACACCCATCAGATTCACTTACTGGTCTTATAAAATTAAGCCACTAATACCAAATTTTTGAAATACCAACAGCTTAATTAGCAATTGAATTAAACGTAATAATTCGACGAATGCGTATATATGGTCAAATCACTTAGAGGACACTGAATCGATGAGCTTTACCTAAGCAAACAGCCAACAAATAGATAATTGCTATCCGCCACATTTTATGGACCAGTTCCAGTGGTACACCAATTACTAATTGGAAAATAACATTAGGTAATAGATGAAGAATCCTGAAATCAACATTTTTGTGGACATTAGAATTTGATGACTGAAGAAATTTGAACCTCGTTTTCAGAATCACTGTTTCTTTATTTACATCAACATTACTAAATTAAAGTAAAATTGAAACCCTTGATGCATAAATTGGTAGCTAAAGAATCGCCAAGCCTGATAACGAAGAGATGGTGCAAATAAAAATGGTCCAATTGTTCCATCAACCCAACAACCAGCGCAATAAGTAAAAGGATTCTCTTGTCGTCCATACATATAATATACAAAGGTAGATACCTGCAATCTTCACCATAACAAGAAAAAAACCTTTTGCAGGAAATAACAATATAGTAGCTATTTTGTATATTAAATGTAACACTTTTCAAAAGTTTACCGGTGTCGCATTTCAGTACATTTTTAACTAAACACTGACAACTGTCAGTTTGAAAAACTTTAAGTATCATCATTTTCTTGCACCCACCCACACTGTTTCGTCCTTAGTATTTTCATTCACTTATAAGCTAGCTTTGAATGAATTATTCCTCCCAGAAATAGGTCTTTCTAATGATAAAATTATTACCTGTAAAATCGAGATACATAATACAAATATTGGTGGAGGCATGCAATTGTATTCATCAATATAAGTATGCACAATCGGTCGATCAGTCTTGGCAATAATTGTATCAGCTACCGAATACATTAATACTTTTAGTTTTTTCTTCTGTGCATCTGCTGATGTTACCTGTTTTTTCACATAATATACATACATTATTTCAAACTTTACCCTATTCTTGAGATCTACTCTTGAGTTTTTTCTTTCTAATGCCAATTATAAGGAAGAACAAACCAACTGTGAGAATTCACTGAAATCAAGAACATTATCGCGATTTCTATCAGCTTCTTTTAGAAGTAGACGAATTTGTTGGCCAGTTAACTCAATCTGTGGAAAAGATAATAGTGATTTTATAAGATTGCTTTCATATCTTAGATGCTTCATTTATAATAACTGAAGCACCTAACATATAACAATAGACTCACTTGATTTCTATTAAAGTTATCGTTTAACAAATGATGAATCTCGTTCAGCGATATCATTCCATCACCATCACTGTCAAGCTGTAATCAATAAATAAATTATTTGTTCTGTCCATTTTATGATTGACCACAACTTTCACACAAAAAATTTTTTTCGTAAAGTTAACAGTATTTAAAAGAAAAAAAACTTCATTTTAAAAAATATGAAGAAGCTTCTATTTCGCAAATTTGCCTAATTCTCATCAAAAAATCTCATTCAAATAATTAACAGGAAACATTAAAATAAAGTAAAAAAAGTCACAAACCTTATCAAATTCTTGTGCAATAACTTCTTGCGCTGATCGTTTATTGGCCATTTGAATGTAACATAAGTATGCAGTGTTGATAAAACTTATAATAATAATGATAATAATAACAGCAAAATAATAATAATAATATTATTATTATTATTATTACTATTAATAATGATAATAATAGTGATAGTAAAGATAGAACGAGCAATGCTTCGTTGTTGTACACATAATAAATAATGAGGAAAAGTGTTGAAGAGAAGTGACAAAAGCAAGTTTTTTCGTTTTCCTTCTTTTGCTGTGTCTTTCTTTAGCTTAGTGACAAGTGACAAGAATAACTTCATATTAACTTTATCAGTCGAGAAAAATGCACACAGAAAGAGAAAGAGAAATGAGAATTAAGAGAGAAACAAAGAGGAGAGAAAGAGAGGGAGAGAGAGAAAAAAAAAGAAAGAGAAATAATTGCAGTTATGTATACTCTTTAGCTTACTTCATGCTTTATCCCATATCAATTTGTCATTCTATCGTCTCTGCTATTTGTCGCATCCTTCCATATTCTACAACTGTCATTGTTTCATCGTCCTTACTCTTCTCATCATGGAATCAATGAGTGTTAAGTAAATTCATTCATCCATCCATCCATCACACAATGCCATTTTCAGCATTCTCTCACCAATACAATGCCTAAGTAATTGCAAAAATAAATACGAAGCAAATATTACGTAAACATAAACGTAAATAAGCGTTTTGCGTTAATTAAATGGAATTATACAAATGCAATTATACAATTAAATGGGATTATACACGTCTATTGCGTTAATTAAATGGAATTATACAAATGCAAAATAAAAGATTATGTATAAGTATCACGTAAATAAAAAAATGCAAATGAATTTGTATTATGCAAATCAATCAAATAATTAAAAATTGAAGTTATTACTAATAATGAATAGAAATATTAGATTGTTGTTATACTTTTTTTGTATGAATTTCTGATTAAATTTTGATGATGTAATTAGATAAGAAAGGATATCAAAATGATTCGCTGAAATTTCAATTCAAAATACTATTTTAAACTAATATGTGATATTTATCTTATATAATTTACATAAAAATTAGCATTGAGGAAGTAAATCTAATATTGTTATTCTTATAATTTATTCCATCGCTTCGAATTAGCATCAATAATAATATTTCTATGATAATAATGACAATGATAGTAATGGTAAAGAAAAACTCGTTTTCAATATTAGATGTAAGCTTTTATAAAAATTTTCCCTTCCTTATCACCTCACTGTGATAATATCCTTTCTTATCATTCTTTTCCCTCTCTTCATTTTAGAATAACTTTCTTTCATTTTTCATCACTTTTAGCATTGCTCCTTCTTTTTTTGACTCACTAAATCACTTTACCTCTTAATATCATACCCATTTATCATTAACCTTTTGACCTTTCCAGTAATACCCACCCACTAGTCCTTCCCTGTCATCCTCTCTCCCGCTGATACCTTTCCGCTGCAATACATCAGAAAAAGCGCGCTTAGTAATAATTTGAATTTATTTGTTTCTAAATTGACCAAATGCGCATGTACCATTTCATGTGTTAATGTCACATGTATAATATATTTCCTCAGCAAATTTTGCTTAACGCGCTGTGACATTACGTAATGAATACTAAAATGTTTCATGTTTCTCACGTATATCACGTTGATGCCACTTGCATGCTACTGAAATATTTCTCACGTATATCACGTTGATGCCACTTGCATGCTACTGAAATATTTCTCACGTATATCACGTTGATGCCACTTGCATGCTACTGAAATATTTCTCACGTATATCACGTTGATGCCACTTGCATGCTACTGAAATATTTCTTACGTATATCACGTTGATGCCACTTGCATGCTACTGAAATATTTCTCACGTATATCACGTTGATGCCACTTGCATGCTACTGAAACATTTCTCACGTATATCACGTTGATGCCACTTGCATGCTACTGAAATATTTCTCACGTATATCACGTTGATGCCACTTACATGCTAACTAAAATATTTCTCACATATATCACGTTGATGCCACTTGCATACTACTAAAAATTTCTCACGTATATCACGTTGATGCCACTTACAGCTATCACATAATTATTATTTCATAATATTTCTTGTTGATATTATGTATTTTTAGATAGACGCTAAATTTGTTGCGGTATTTTTATAAAATTTCTAGTAAAATATTTTTTTCTCTTTCAGGATAATTTTTTCTTTATTATGTCTACTGAATCGTTATATGCTGCAGTAAATGGAGTTTTAAAGAAACTAGTAGCAGAAGCGATTGCAACGGACAAATGTATAAAGGTTATTCATAGGACGACAAAGAAAACGGTTTCTCTCTTTTTTTTTTTAAAAAAAAAATATTAGATATAAAAATAGAAAAGATTAATTTTTATCCCCTTAAAAATCCCATTAAAAATAACTTTATCCCTTAAAAAATATCCCAGTTGCATGTTGGTATTTCTTTTAAAGCCAAAAATTTATTGTTTATTGTATAAATTTCATGAACCGTTGCTTTCGGTTTTGAACTAATCTCAACTATTTTTAATAAAAAATAAAATATTATAAGTACTGCCATTATATAGTTTATATTTCCAGTTTACTAATCAATTTTTCTCTCTTTTTGTCATGGAATAATAAACGATAAAATTAGCCCTAGATTAATCTGAAGCATTCACATTTTAGCTATATTTATTATCTTTTTTTTAAAGTCATTTTAAAAAATTTTCATTTTATTCTTTTTGTAATACTTTTATTATCTTTAACAATTGCAGATTACTCCTGACAAAATGGAAGAAATCTTGGCAACTGCAAAAGATCAACTACAGGAATCGGTGTTAAATGGTGTTAGTCAGGTGATTCATAACGATGAGGTAAGTCTAATACGATAAACTTGCTTTTCAAAATACTAGTAAAATCAGAATAAGGTCTATCAAAACTATAAAATATTAGCATCTAGATTCATGATCCTCTTTCTGAAATAATGCTCGAATAATTCTATCATTTATATTGCGATTTCATGTTAACAATTATAATTCCTGTAATTTCACACCTAATTTACATATGTTATCTAGGTCCTTGAAGGAATGATCAAACTGAAAAATCTTATTAAAGAATCATCAAAGGAAGATATAGGTAATGATTTCTATATGTATTAATCAGTAGGTGAAGATGATTTTTTTAAGAAAATAAATGCTTTCTTTGAGATCTATGTTTTGATATCTGTTCTCAGACATGATTAAGACGCCTGTCCGAAATATAATTAATAGAGAAAAGCTTATAAGTCGGTAATTTTAACTGAATATAGCTTATCTGAATTGCATATTCTTTATTTCTTTCGTGTCTCTTTGTAACATTTATGAAGAATTAAATAAAAATCATGATTTCAGGATGGCGACCAAGTGGCATTCCATCTGATGATATTGCCGGCCATTTGCAACCAGTTATGTTTAATAATGAGCAGAATTTGATTTGCTTGAGAGATAAACTAGAAGCTGAAATTGAGGCAAGCAATATCTTATTTGCTCATGCTTTTGTCTGGAAAAAACATTGGTCTGCTGGGACTGCAAACAATTTGATATTTTTTAAACTAAATTGTTACTGAAATTTCTAGACACTTTTTTTATAGATTCATTCAAAGTGAAAGAAAATATAGCACTAGTGGAAATTAGTAATGCTACTTTTTGATCTAAACAAACATTTTTTTTTTTTTCAGAAGAAACGAAATATGTACAAAGAAACTGAAGATAAAGCTCGAGCAATGATGCAAGAAGCATTACTTTATAACCATCCTGTTCACCCGCTACCATAAATTAATCTATAGTTTATGTGTAGATTATAAGTGATCATCTTTCGTAGCTATTTATATTTTTGTCCCTTGTTTAAGAAAATATTATTCAATTTCTGTTAACAGTTTCCACATATCTGTGCTATGAGACTACATAGCGTAGTTTTTTCATTCATCATATTCGAAATCGAATATGATGTAGAATGAACTGACAGTTGTATAGCGAAGTTCTGTTTTTGTTCAGTTTGATGAAAAACTTGCATGTATATTCTCGAAAAATATTTTGCATAACTCAGTGGAAAATGGTTGATGTATTTTTGGCTTAATTGAGATTTTTCCCATATTCTGGTCTATATATCCCTAACGAAGCTTTTTATGGAAAAATTTGTAAAAAAACGATTCAATTCAAATATGTGAGTACGGACATTATGTTCAAACTCCTTTTAACTTATATTTCAGATTACTTATTGATTTAAAAATACTACTGAAGATACATTGTTACTTAGAACAATGATTGCGACTACAATATATCTGTCTTTCTTTTTTTGCTTTCTATAAATGTAGAATTTTTGAAATCTTCATTGATTTGTCCACCGGGCTGCAGAATGATGGTCTCTGTGATAGACTATTAATTAGGAGCGGTTTAGTCAATTGCATAACTACTATAATTCTTTGCAAAAGCATCATTGCTGAACGGAATTTCTAGAACTATGTAATATTTGAATTAAGCTGAATGATGATTTAATATTGCGAATTTAAATGATAATGATATATCGAGACTTCTGTAGAATTTGCACAGTAATAAAACATTGAAATATTCGTTGTTTATATTTCTTAGCCTTTGAGATGCTTTCTTTTTACGAATTCATGCAGAAAGAGACAAAATAGAAACCTAAGTGGACAACTTCAATGCTGTGGTAAAGAAATTGCATTATATAATTAAATTGTCTCAAAACTTATTAGTCTTTTGTTCCATTGCTAGAGTGCCATATCTCATCGATTGATTCTCATTGCAATATCGGAATGTTTCCAGTGTAAATATGAATTTCCAAAGAAATTGAATCTATTTTCTGGTCATTACTATCAATCAAGAGAATTTCATTCTTCTCATAATCGCTCTTCACTTTTCATGCTACTCCACAAAACAACGAATCAGTCCATTTTAATAGCATTTGCTTATTTGATACCAAAAACTAATAACTTGTTGATGTTTGGAAGTCTCTGTGAAGTCATAAAGTGGGTGAGAAGTTTGCGATTGTCATGAGTGAACTGTATGATTATCAGATAATATGAGTCAACTAAAATTAGATGTCAAATACTGAAAAGGTAAAGCAGTGTCTGTGTGAAAACCATTCGCTCTGTGACATTGATATGGAAGAAAATATTAAGGTGATCAAATGCAATGTCAACAATTGCAATCATTTAGCAATGATATGTTTTGACAAGCAAAATATTTGTAGTTAAACTAATAAATGAGATACGACAAAAGCAGATACGCCATCCTACGTAATTCACGTTTGTTTTTTGACAAAATATTTTTACAAGAGTAAACACGTATAAATGATATGTATAATATATTTACAACTAGTAGTACAATTTTTTGGTAAATAATTACAGCGTGAAAAATTAACAATCACTTATAAAATACGAATTACATTACCTGGCAATACTGGGCATTATAAATGAGATACAGCTTCTAAAATTTCCTTCGAGGTAAAAGTTTCAGAAGGTTAAAAAGAAGAAAGGAGATTTTTTTGGGACTAAATATGAGCAATCCTAGATTCTTTCAAAGGAATGTGGATTTTTCAAACCTTCCTTGAGAATTTATAATGTCTTAGATTCAGACTCAATAATGATTATAAATTCTCAGTCTGACTTCTTCTGAGAAAGATTTAAGTTCTTTCCAACTTGAATACAAATTACACACTCATTTAGAACGAAAAACAATAGAAATTCAGGAGAAAAAACGTGACAAACTGAGACCTTCATTTTTGTTCTCTTCATCCGTATAGAAGCAAATATAACAGTCACTCAATAATCGCATCAAATCCGAATCGTTTTCAACATCATTCGGCAAATGTCCTTCTCGGTTAACACAATCACGAACTCGACACCAACCAGCATCACTCAACCAATTTGACATTTTTTCACACAATTTCACCTGAATGCCCAAAAAAATATGTCCAAATACGTCGAAAAATAAACATTTGATGTGTTCAAACGTTTAATAATTGTGATTATTTTCGCTAAAATTTAAAAGTTATAACTAATAAACAATAAAACAACAATGATAAGACTCAATTCAATTTAATCTCTCTATAATGGATGGAAGCACTTTTGATAAATTGATTAATATAATCGTTCAAGACACATACTTACTTTAATCTGTCTAACTGTTAACGATTGAGATTTCGCTTACATCTGTGAAAGGAATTAAAAATGAAAGAACCTGTGGGACATTATAGCCATCCGAAAGACCCACTCGATCAGCCATCGAATCGAAAAATACCCATTTGTTAGTGTAAAGAGCATGCACGAACGCTACATAATGAGAAGTTTCAATGCAAAGAACAGATGCAAGTTGAAGCTTCTTTTGTGGTACCTGCGTTCGTCGAGATAGTGACAAAGATGATGAAATCGAAAACGAATTACTGCTAATGGATAACTGTTGTGGTTGATGATCTAAACCATTGTGGGTTTGTTCATAACATATACCACAATATGTTACCTGAAATACAATTAATCCAATAGAAAGTGAAATCATAAAATTAATTTCAAACAGTGTAAAGAATTCGAAAATATATAAAACATACATGAAAATAAAATTAGTATTCATTTCTACCAAAATCCTGATAAATCTTGGCTATAACACACAAAAATTTTCGAAAGAATTCCAAATTGTGAAAAATAAGCTCACCTCACCAATGAAGACCTCTCTTGTCAAGAAGCATTCAGGACACATCATATCGGCACGTTTGCCACAATTTACACAGGGTCGTTTACCTATAAATGCATTTCATAATGAGTTACACTTCTACCTAATTAAAAGTACCATTTTCATTAAAAAAAAAAAACGTTTGAGAATGATGCTTTTTGATTTGATTATCTATGTAACTTCGAGCAATACCTGTAAAGCTGAAAATATTGAAATATAAAGTAGAAAAAATTTGATAAGAGAAGACTATAAAAGATAGAAATTTAAGAAAACAGTATTTCGATCAATTAAATCAAAAAAAAAAATCATTTCAAACATCAAAACAGTTTACCTTCATGAATAAGATGAGTGATATCCATTTCCTGAGGTGGAAATATTTTGTCAAAAACTTTCTGTTGCCCATATCGTGGTAACTGAAGGATCAAAATTTTCGGTTCCTGAAATAAACACAAGCAATAAAAAGAAAAAAAAAACATCTAAATAGGCTCATTATCCAATAATTTTCAACAGAAAATGCGTGATTCTCACACTGTCACCAAAATCACCGAAAATGTTCAGTCATTTGACATGCTCTCTCCATCAATACCGAAACAAACATTTAAGACAATGATTCTCGTATTATCATCCAATGGCCGAGTTTTCAATAATTTTAATAATTATTAATGTCAAATGTAAAATTTTCCTCGTAAAGGTGGGGATGGAAACATCATTTGCACGACCTACCAAGTAGCTCTGAACTGAACTGAAATTGAAATTCAGATGTGCTACAATACCAACAAAAAAAAATTTGGTGGACAGGGAATAAAAAAGCTACAAAAAGGGAAAAATATTATTATGAATAATGTATGGACCATCTTTCATCAGCCACTAGACCGAATTTCAGATATCATATGCTTGGGTTAAATAGAAAAGAATTTAGAAGTTAGTAAAGTAATGCAATTCTTTCTGAGGAAATAATTATTATCATGTGAAGTAGAAAGTAATACTCTAAATCCAATACTAATAAAAATCATGAGTTAAGTAAGAAACGAATTACTATTATTAATTATTAAAAAGAAACTTACACATGCAAACTGAATATTAGATGCAAAAAGTGATCTTTCGAGAAGTGTTTGCACACTAATTAATCGACGCTGTTTTTCGCTCCATAGATCTTCTGTTATTAATGGACATATATATGCCGGATTTGTTTTGCCATCTGTCGTGTTCCTAAATGATTATCCAATTCAGTAGATGGAAGATTTAAGAGATACAAATTTTTGCATTAGGTTAAAAAAAAATTATAGATCCTAGAACGAAATCGGTTAGTGGATAAGTTTCTGTAGGAAAACTGTCAATATCACAAAAGTATCAATTCTAAAAAAAAAAAAAAAAAAGAATTCAAATTTCAGAACAAATTTAATAGCTATTAATCATTTAAAATTGTATTATTTCTAGTCCACGAAAATATGAGAAGTGATACCTCATTACAAGGAACGGTTCAACCCGCAATACTGTATTGAACAAGGCATTCAGTAACTCTTCAGGATCTTTTTCGTCAGTTGTTAAACCTTTCATTTTAGGCAACAGTACCTCCAATAATCGTCGTAATTTTAACACATGATCGGCTCGAACAAAATGAAACCTAAGTTAAGCTCAATATAACATAATCTTAATAAAGACTTTAATTTTGAAAAAAAATAAAAAAAATATTAAAAATATAAAATATGAAATACTGGAATGAAAAAGAAGTAATCTAATCAAATAACAAACCTTCGCAGTGGATAAACAATTTCAGTTTTCAAAATATCGGTGACTTCTGTATGAACTGAATCCGCCTCAGTTTCACGTCTGCTTTCCAATATGCTGAATAAATCCGTAAATTTGTCGAAAAACTCAATTTCTTTACGGACAGTATTACAGAAAAAGAGTGACATTTATATAATGAAAGCGATAAAACTTTTTCTTCAGACTTTCCTGCAGTTAAGAAGATTTATAAATCAGAAAATGGACGAGGGTATTGCAGTGCATCATTTCTTCAATATTATTTATAATTAATATTAAAAATTACCTATCAAATGCTGAACACTGCGAAAACATAGCATAAAGC